CTCCTCTTCGATGCCGGCCAGGCGAGCCTGCCGCCCGCGTGGTGAACGAAACGAGCCTGCGGTGGCTTGTTAAGGTTCAGAAAAAACCGAGGAAATCATAAGGAAACCCATGGGGTTTCTTGTACAATAATTTGTCCTCTGGTGGAGCAAATTCACCCACTTGTCAAAGCCCGGAAGTGGTGAAAGCCCATGAGGGTTTCATCGTTCGTGCGGCTGTTAGAGACATTTGGAGCCAGTCGATGGACGCGACGACGCGACCGGGACTGCCGATCAGGACTGCGGACCCGGCCAGGGGTGGTGGTGTGATGTGATTGGCAGTCCTATGGCAGTCCCAATGGAGTATCATGGAGTGTATGGGATAGATACACTCCCCCACAAACTAACATGGACCCTGACAATTCACCTGTGGAAGACCATTTTCCTCTACAACGTAGAGGTTTTGGGGGTCCATGTGGTCCTCAGCAGGAGGGTAGTCGACCTAATTGATGAATCTTCTACCAGGCACCAGAGTTAGCGGCTGAACAAACGTGGAACGCAGATGAGCATCAGTACCAAAGCCCTCTATATACAGTAAATCGCCCCATCCAGGACAATGGCAAGTTTTGCCATGGTTTGCCCATATCTTGCATGAGTTGCGAGGGGATACTTCAGGATGGGTGGGAATAGACATTGTGGCGCTTCGGCGTGTCTGCACCTCTGTTTGCGGATGGAGCGGAAGACGCTGATCCCTCTTGCAATGAGAACAGACATGATGCATCGCGCTTTGAAGTTTTATCTGAACACCAAAGTACCACAAGAGCCTACATACCTTCGCCAGTGTCACTACGTACATGCACTTGCGTTTGTGTGGTGTTGCTGGTTTGGGCGGTGGCAGGGGATAAACAAAGGGTAAACCGCACTTCACCAGTGTTTCAATATGTCGTTCCCAGTCATAGATGGTGGCACCATTTGCCAATACATTCTTACTAGGGATCCTGGTGCGACTCGCAGGGAATGAGGGTGGCTGGATCCAATAGAATCTCTATTGGGGGCTCAGTCAGTACTGGGGATATCTACTTTACTATTTGAGAGGCCATGGCTGTGAGTTGACAATCATGGAGCTCCAAATCGCTGGTTGACCATGTGCATGTGACGTGGGGCATCCATGGAGCTCCAAATCGGTGGGACCAACCGGATCGGTCACTGCCATACCACACTCCATGTATGCATCATGTATGCTATATGCCTCATTGACCCCCCAAACAAACCCAATGTAGGCAAATGTGGCAGTCCCATTTGTCGTGTCTGGGATATAGAAGCTCTGCGCCGGATTGCTGGATGATGGGGCCTGGTTCCAGGCCGACATCTCTAAAACAGTGATGTTCTTGTTGACCGACATCTCTAAAACAGTGATGTTACAGGCAATAGGACAGACCCAAACGATACGTCATCCAAGAGAAACGTACACATTTCCAGACGTTCCATGAGACCATTCTTTTTTGTGGTTCGGAGGGTCAACTGATCGGCAGTCCTATGCCAGTCCCATGGAGTGTACAGGTATGGGAATTGATTTTGAGAGGGCGAAGGTTTTGCTTCTGTCTCGGCTCAGCACCATTCCTCCTGCTTGGACCGGACAATACGTCGTCATCCGGAGACGTATTTTCGGCTCAAGCCGTTTTCATCGAGTCCAAATTGCTTTGGACATGTCTCACTGCAGCTTGTGCTTGTCACAGAATTCTGTTGAACGAAAAGGCACTGCCTCACTACTCTTCCAGCCATTTGGCACTTACTAGAATCAAGAAGCTAGTAGGTTGGAGGCAATCACTATTGGGTTGGAGGCCATCGCTACTACAGTAGGAGCAAGAAGCTACTAGTAGCTCCTGGCCCTACTACTAGTAACTAGAAGCAACATCACCACTCTTCCAGCCATTTCGTGGGGAGCTTGCACGTCACCTTTGGTTATCTCCCTCACGTGCTTGCAAGTGTCAAAACGCGAAGGAGAAACAAAAAGAAGAAAACTACGGTGAAAAATACCACAGGCCTGATGTTTCAGCTCGTCTTCTTGGATCTCCTCTTCCTGAAACGGCTCATGAGATCGCAATGACACTGTTTCTGTGCATCATAGGCCTCTTCCCTTGATTTCAAGACATTGTGTGGTCCCCAACATCGTAGAGCTAACCAGCAGGTGTTCGACAAGGTTCTGTGGTCATATCATCATATCTGCGCATGGACAAAGATCACCATATTTCTCTATGTTTGGACATGTTTCTACGAAGACGATGAAGGCTACATCCAAATACGCCCGGTCGGTTCACAGACCCACCTGGAACCCGAAAACCACGGTGCGTTCTTCGTCTTTGGAAGCGTTCTTTGTCTTCCTAAGATCCATTCGACCCGGTTGCCATGTGGGTCTCGGAAGGCCGGGTGTATTTGAACCACACACGGAAAGATCCAGAACCGCCATGGACTCTGAAGGGTCACTCTCGACGAGAGAATCTCCATGTGGACTTCCACAGCGAGGTGGCGAAACGTGCCACGTTCGGGGCCGGGGGGAGTTGAAAGGAGTCGTTCGGGCGTAGCGGACAAGTCCGACCCAGTCCAAATATCCAACATGTTCTTGGAAGCCTTGGCTAGTACCAACCAAAACCGACCTGTCTGGGACTGCCAGATCGATCAGTTGAAACCCCCATTTGGCCCACGGCTGTCTCAGACCCGGAGCGTCGTCGTCGGGGTTCGCCGTCACAGAGATAGAGGGCAGCATCTGGGTGGTCTCCACCGTCCAAGTGACCAAGATCAATAAGTACAATAAGAAATATAGTTAACAACTGATCATTAAAGTCATGGGTGAATTGGGCGAACTTGGGGAATGTGACAATACAGCTTTCCCACTAAATGTCCCCAACTTGATTGAGATGGTCATCGACTTCATGTCACCGAAAGCCACCATCCTTTGCTGGCCAGTCGGCCTCATATATACCTCATACCATACCTGTCTCTCCATCCACCGGAGAAATCAGTCCACCAGATCGCCTGGCATTGGTCCGATCAGGAGTCTAGGGAGAAAAGCTTCAAACCCTATAGGGATCCACATACCTTCTCAGGTTCGGTACGACTGGGCCCTCCAAGCCTACATATAAATAGTCGAACACATCACCGTACCTGAGAAGGTACGTGGATCCATAGGTAAAGAACATAACACATCAAACACCTGGTCGACATGGGGGTTGTTTCAGGCATGTAATTTTGGAGAACATGTGAACAGCACGAATAGACCAGACTAGACATGACTGCTGCATGCCCGACGTCGGCCGACGTCGGCTGTTTCGCAACAGATCGTTCGCCAAACCACGGCAGAAACCGAGAATCCCCCACAGCTGCGGCAGCTCCGCAGGCAATTCACGTTTTTCTTCCAGCAGCTCTATTTATAGTCTAGTCTTACAAGTGGCC